CAATGGACGCTTTAAAATTGCTGATGAACCTGCAACAACGAATTGATAAGACCATCTCAGCCATTGATGCCATCGCAGATTTCCTGCCCGGCGTTATTATCATTCACAATATCCCGGATGGTTCTGTAAGATATATGTCGCCAAGAGGGCTTCGTTTTCTCAATACCACTCTTGAAGAATTACAGGCACTCAAAGCCGGTTACCACAGCAAGTACTTCAATCCCAACGAATCCGCAGAATATGTGCCCGGCATGCTGGCATTGCTGGAACGCAATGATCTCAACGAGGCCTATACCTTCTTCCAGCAATCCCGCCAATCTGACGAGCAGCCCTGGAACTGGTATCTCAGCTCCATCAAAGTACTTTTACAGGATGATGATGGCACTCCGGTGCTTGCCATTACTATTGCCCAGAATATTGACCCGCTGCATCACCTGACCAGTAAGGTATCCCGCCTGCTGGACGAAAATAATTTCCTGCGTAAGAACCAGCATATTTTTGCCATGCTTACCCGTAAGGAACGTGAAATTGTAAAGCTGATGGCTGTCGGCCAAAGCAGCAAACAGATTGCCCAGATACTTTTTATCTCTGAACAGACTGCACAGACCCACCGCCGCAATATTAAAGCCAAACTGGGCGCCGCCAGTGATTATGATATTACTAAGTTTGCACAGGCCTTCGACCTGATATAACCGCACGAAGGAAAACGGTAGTTATGCGCATAGTGATTCAAAGAGTATCCTCCGCCAGTGTCCTGATCGATGGCAGCATTAAAGGAGCCATCGGGCAGGGACTGATGATCTTACTGGGTATTGAAACAGAAGATACTGCTGAAGACATGGAATGGCTGAGCCAAAAGATCGTACAGCTGCGTATCTTTTCAGATGAAGCCGGCCAGATGAACCATGATCTTAAAACGGTTGATGGACAGATCCTGCTGATCAGCCAGTTTACCCTTCATGCCGCCTGTAAAAAAGGCAACCGCCCCTCTTTCATTAAAGCCGCCAGGCCGGAACAGGCAATACCGCTCTATGAGCAGATGATTGCCCGGCTCTCCGTTTTGCTCGGCAAACCAATAGAGACAGGTACCTTTGGCGCTGATATGAAGGTAAGCCTCACCAACGACGGACCGGTAACCATTATCATGGATTCTAAAAACCGGGAATAGGCTTCGGTAACAGAACGCCTGCATTTTCATTAAAAACCGACATTTTGTATTTACCCAACGACGAACATTTTATGCGCCTGGCCCTGCGTGAAGCACAAATGGCCTATGATGCCGGAGAAGTGCCAGTGGGCGCAATTGTGGCCTGGGACGACAAAATAATCGGCCGCGGCCATAACCAGGTAGAACGCCTCAACGACAGTACTGCTCATGCAGAAATGATTGCGATGACCGCCGCCTTCCAGACCATAGGTGCCAAATACCTGTCGGAAGCCACTTTATATGTAACGGTAGAGCCCTGCCTGATGTGCTGCGGCGCTATGTATTGGAGCAAGCTGGGCAGGATCGTGTTCGGGACTAAAGATGTGAAGAATGGCTATCGTAAAACGACCGGTGAAAACTGGCCTTTTCACCAGAAAGCAGAGCTAACAGAAGG